CTCTCTCTCTCTCTCTCCCCTTCCCCCCCCCCCAACGCAGCGCAGAAGTCCCTGCTCCAGAGCTCTACCAGAAGAAGAAGAAGAAGATGCTTACCAATGGAAGGAAAGCTCGACGGCTGGGCAGGGCAATGGCGAATCCATGGAGGCCGAGGCGGACGGGGGCTGGGCAGCGACGTCTCCACCTCGTTCGCGTTTGACGCCCAAAGTGAACCAGGTGCACATGTCCGAAAGCGGCAGGAGTTGGGAGGCGGGAGGGTGTTTGAAGAGGCCGCCTATATGTTCGGGCGGTTTCCCACCCGAATGCTCAAAAACAGGCGGCCTATCTGGGCCGCCGATCTCACCAGATCGACGGTCCAGATAGGCCGCCAGTTTTCCAGATGTAGGCGGCCCTACCCGACACGGTTTGATTTTTTTTGGGCCCGGGAGGCCTCCATGACCTGCATGGAGGCCTCCTCCCGGCCCCAAAAAAATTCGAACCTTCCCCCAATTTGAAATGCGCAAATATCAACCGGGGGGAACCGGCGCGGTCCACCGGCCGGTCCAACCGGGCCGGTTCCAGTGGGGGGAGGGGGCCCCGGTGGGCCCGGGTATGCAGCCTTGTTATATGATAAATTTGTTGGAATTCTAAAGCTGTGCTACCTGCCCTTCATCTCTCTGGCCTCGAGGTGTGAACTTTGTGTGTCCTCATTCATGCATGTTGTGTGATTGTGTGCGCTCATTGGTGTTGAACTGGAGGTTCTGAATTTACCACAGTAATTCTGAATTACCTACCGTCGAACTCCATGGGAAACAGATGAGTGAATTTACTACAGTAATTCTGAATTACCTACCATCGAACTACACTGGAAACAGATGAGTGAATTTACTACAGTAATTCTGAATTACATACTACAGTAATTCTGAATTACCTACCGTCTTCACCCGAATAGAACGCCCGGTCATTATAGCTGTATTTGGACTGAAAATTGCACCAAATACGGCTATAATGACCGGGCGTTATTCGTGTGAAGACGGTAGGGCCGGTTAGTTTGATGATCGTATCTCAAGGCCGTCCAGTGCATCCACTTTAGGACGAAAAAAAAAACAAAGACGAAAAAAAAGAAAAGAAAGAAAGAAAGAGCGGAGAAGATTGGCGAGACGAGGCAGGAGGAGGAAGGAGGAGGACGTCAAGGGAGAAAGAGAGGACGGAGGGGAGAGATGAGAGTGAGGGGAGGGGAGGAAGAACAGGGAAGGGAGCATGGTAGAAGACATAAGAGAGGGAGAGCACAAAGATCGAGGAGACGGAGATTAAGGAGAAGCTCGGTGAAGCTGGTGGAGATGGAAAGCACAGAGAGAGAGAGAGAGAGAGAGAGAGAGAGAGAGAGAGAGAGAGAGAGAGCAAAGTAGGAGAAAGGAGAGCAGCCTACCGTTTGAGCTGCTAGCGACAACGCAATGTCCCGTGGTAGGCCAGCCATCACCCCTCCATCAGCCAGGGCCTCAATCATCACAAATACATAAGCTGGACCACTTCCACTGGCAAAAAAGAGACGAAAACAGAACGCCAACAGCAAAGCCACACCAAAAAAACTGCATTGAATCATCTGAATCTAGTAGTCATGTTTTTCAATATTTCTCTTTACTATCGTCTTCACCCGAATAGAACGCCCTGTCATTATAGCTGCATTTGGCACAACTTTGGGTCCAGATGGAGCCGGCGAAAACAGTAGTCTCCAGAGTCTCATGTCCCTTCGGGACATCTGTTAAAATTGGAACGATTCAGAAAAGATTAGCATGGCGCCTGCGCAAGGATCCCACGCATAAACCCCGAGAAATGGTCCAAAAAAGAAAACAAAAAAAAAGCAGAAACTGTCTAGAGTATCCAGAGAGCAATATGGCCACCTTGAGACTGCAGATCACAAATAGAATATTAGACGATCTTTTGAATTTTTTATTTTATTTTATTCCTATTCATAAATATTTCGCCTGATTGGAGTTCCTCCCCCCCACCTCTCTCCCTGTCTCTTATACACATCTAGATGTGTATAAG